CCTCTCGGCAGTGTACTCACTTCCTGTGCCAGACCCTCAGAAAGTACCAACATCATTCTGCATTTTAACAGCAGCTGTGAAAATGGGAACTGAACCTAGAGCTTCGCGTGGTCTCGTTTGGACGAACGAAGGAGTAGAATTATCCTCTGTCCCGCGCTGGAAGCCCACGTAGTTAGTTAGTGTGCGCAGCGCCATTATTGTTTATGTTTGTTCTCCGCTACTGCGCATGTCCAAATGTACGTGCGGGGAGCAGCGCGGAGGCGGGGGTCAGAGCAGAGGGGGATTTCACACCTTTTTCCCTCTCGCGGGTGTGAAAAACACCCGCGTGTTTTTCACGTTTTAAAAAGTGACAGAAGTCACAAATTAGAAATATGCCTTTGCTAAAACTGCAGCCAAACTTTGGAGTCACAGTAGAGTAGAAATAGAATTAGATAAAAGCATCAACCATAGATGCTTTCAAAAATAGAGATTATTTGTAGCCAGTGCTAATATCAAATGGTAAAGGGACCATTTCACAAGCATTTACTTCAAAAGTAGATAAAGTTCATTACAGTTTATGTACAGTTTTATTAGATACTTGCCAAATTCACTTGTGTTCAAACATGAGTGAATGTTGATATGTTGACTATGCAAAAACCTCATATGAGTGTAGTCTAGATTAATGCCTAGATCAATGAGATAGATTAGAACCAACAGAGATTCAAAAGCATTTTGATGTATTTGTGTATAGCACAAAAACAGTATAGTAGATATTTAGATATTGAGAAGTTTCCAGCACAAACACCATTGTAGAACATTGACCCCAACCCCAAACCTGCTAAAATAGATTAGCTCTTGTAAGGATAATACTAATTTGATTAATGATGTACATTCATCCCAAATGCCTGACAATAATATCTTTAGATAATAAAAAGTAATAAATCACTGACCACTATAGAAGTGTAAATGTTGACCATTTGTCTTACTGTGTTCACAGTTTTATTCCTGAGAATGAGAATAGACATAGAGCAAAATCCCACTGATAATATGCCACTGATAATGAGAGTATAATACCACAGAGAGATTTATTAGATTAAAATGTATGTTTAAGAATATGGCTCAATAGAAGCAAATATGCAAACATATTTGTAAATAGATTAGAATAGTTTTAAACTATAGTGAATAGTAAAAGTAAAGTACACAGTCTAAGATTGAAAAGTGAAAATAATAAAGTGTAGTGTAAACAATTAGCATTAGAATAAAAGTATAGAGTAAGAAAAGTGAAATTAGCTTCAAATTTGAGACTCAGCTCGTTTTTGTCTGTGTTTTGACTGAATCTGCTGAGTGTCCAATAGTGTTTGTTTGTTTTTTATTTTTGATTTGTTTGTTTGTTTATTTACTTTATTTTTGTTTGTTTGTTTTTTCCCAGGATAGAGGATAAAATCCACTGATATTGATTTGATGATTATGAGTTTAATGCATACATTGTCTTTGTTTTTTAATAATTTTTTAAAGTTTTTTGGATTTTTTTTTTTTCTTTTTCCACTTTATTGATTGATCAATTTGAGTGATCACATGTGATCAAAGGGGAGGGTGTTAGTATTAGATAGCAATATGGCCTACGTGCAGGACTCTACAAGGACTCTACAAGGACTCCATGTTATGACTATGATGTGACTGTCTCTTTGTGACACGTATGTCTTTCGATGTGTGACGTGACAATGACTATATAAACTGTGTACTGCCTTTATTCTGTCTGAGAGAAAGAAACAGAGTAAACTAGTGGAACTTGAGAGAAACTTAAATAAACTTCCAGAGTTTGGCACACCACGATCCGTCTCTGTCTGCTAAATCCTAACACGACCTCAGCTGACAGAACCTACAGCTTTAATAAAGATAGGATTTTGTGGGGATTTTAGTGTCCCTTTTGTCATCCTGAACTTTTTTTCTTCTTAAATCTTTCGGTTTTGTTTAAATCCACACTTTAGTGTCACAAACTCTACTCCTCTGGCTCTCGCTCTAACTCCCGCTCTGATGAACTGCTCTGATTGGTCAGAGCGCGGCCGAGCCCCTCTGTGCACGTGCGTGAGACCCACACACGCGTGTTTGGCGCAACGCATTATGGGAGATCATCCACTGCGCAGAACCGGGAGGACCAGACGATGCCCAAATACAGGCGAGTTTCCCATAGATCTTTGCGAGTTTCAGGCAACTTCCGCTAATCTTTTCAGCCCCCATGCCGTCACAAAGCGCCACTGAGCACAACCATTCATTTGAATAGGGCGCCATCTTGGATCGCCGGGGCTTGCTTTGGCCCCGCCCCCTTTGCGCCCCTGATCCACACTTCGCCGTAGTCTGCATCTATCAAGCCCCGGCGATCCAAGATGGCGCCCTATTCAAATGAATGGTTGTGCTCAGTGGCGCTTTGTGACAGCATGGGGGCTGAAAGATTAGCGGAAGTTGCCTGAAACTCGCAAAGATCTATGGGAAACTCGCCTGTATTTGGGCATCGTCTGGTCCTCCCGGTTCTGTGCAGTGGATGATCTCCCATAATGCGTTGCGCCAAACACGCGCGTGTGGGTCTCACACCGGGTCTCATGCACGTGCACAGAGGGGCTCGGCCGCGCTCTGACCAATCAGAGCAGTTCATCAGAGCGGGAGTTAGAGCGAGAGCCAGACGAGCAGAGTTTGTGGCACTAAAGTGTGGATTTAAACAAAACCGAAGGATTTAAGAAGAAAAAAAGTTCAGGATGACAAGGGACACTAAAATCCCCACAAAATCCGATCTTTATTAGAGCTGTAGGTTCTCTGTCAGCTGAGGTTGAGCTGTTTTAATATGCATTGAGTCCTATGGGGAAAATTTCTGGGTAGCCCACGTGAATTTAGTCTGGTTCAGTCTGCAGTACTGCGAGAATCCCCTGAGCACGTGAGTTATTCAGCTACAAGCTAGTAATACCCTATCCCAGCCATTCCCAAACTCAGTAACACCGAGGCCCCCTTAAAAATCTGACGGGTCTGAGTGGCCCCCCCAAAATAATAACCAAGAAGACAACATTAAGAATAGGCTCTTCTGGTTATTTTATTTTGGGGAAATAGCCTCTGCTACAAACATTGTAATACAAAAAATATTACAGTGGATTATTCAAGTCAAATAATGAACACAAATATTTTAATATTACAAACAAAACATTATAAATTTAACATTAAATAATTATATATATATATTATTTTTTTTGTATAACCTCCCGCGGCCCCCCTGCAGTACCCTCGCGGCCCACCAGGGGGCCGCGGACCCCACTTTGGGAGACATTGCCCTATCCAGTTAATTTAATAGATCCATGGCATCTATGCGCACTCTGGCGAAGGATATTGCCCATAATTCTTTGCGGTACACACCAAAACATCGGGAAAATGCATTTAAATATAAATTTTGAAATATATATGCAGTATGTGTGTAAATAACTTTTGCTATTGTGACCCGAGGTACTTAAAAATAACCAATAAAATAACTAAAGTATTAATAAAACCAAAGGACACACAGGTAAGCTTTGTAAAAGACAGCAGAGACAGTGCTTTTAAAATATGCAATTAAAAGTTTATTTATAACAGAATTGGGTTTAAAAAGGATGATATTTATTTATAAAAAGTAACATTCAGGTTAAAATGGCCAATATGATAAAAGTAAAGTTCAATTAAAATCTGGCAGCCCCTGGGCCAGAGCCAAACGAAATCTGAAAGCAGACAAGTCTTAAACAGAAACCAAACAAGGATGGCTTGAGAGGGGGTAGCCCCACCCCAAACAAAACAGAAAGTGCTACCCACAAACGCACTAAATAACAAAAATACCAAGTGCAAACAGAAAAATGGGCCAAATCCCCCGCCCAAGCACATCCAAGGGAAACTAAATCTAAAAGGCTAAAAGACCCAGGTACTGCTATACAGGACTGGTGCAGAGCTAAAAGGGTTTCTAAAAGCTACAAAAATGATACAACCCAAAAACGAACTCTAAACAAAACAGTAGCAGGCTAAAATCTGCAATTAAAATGGAAACAAACATTAAACTCAAATGCAATAAAATGTAAACAAAGTGCTAAAACGCTTGTCCCACCTTAAAATTGCGATAAAACGGGGGAAAATAGCCACCACCGGAGTCCTACAAAAAGACTCTAAAACCAGAGAAGTAAATTAAGAACAGATTAAAAATGCTAAAAGCGAGGGAGGGTAAAACACACCTGTCACCAGCCAGCAGCAGTCGAGACTGAGCACCAGGCACGGGGGAATATTTAAAGGGGAGGCCACTTCCTCCATTAGGCAGGAAGCGGCAACTCCTCATTTAGGAAAGAGAGCCCCCTACTGCCCGCTACAATCTGCCCCCAGTTTGTCATCGCCGTCCCGGTGATACCATGGCTAGTCCCAGGGCCTAAAATAAGCGCTCACCATACTACTGGCACTACTGACCCGGGAGGTAGCAGCCCCACCTGACCTAAGAGATGCTGTGGTAGGGAGATGGTGCCGGTTCGGGTGCTGACCCGCTGTGGCCCGGGTTGTCCTCCTGGGGCCTTCTGGGAACTGATGCGGAGGCTGCCTTAAGGAACCTCCTGAGGGTTCGGAGACAGGCGGATGATTAGGCTGGAGGGGGGTACCTGCTTGTGAGGGCACAGTGGAAGTGATTGCCTCTCCAAGGGCTGGCCTGGTGACCACGTAGAAATTACCCTCTTCCTCCTCATCCTCCTCCATCTCCATCTCCATCTGGACCTCGGGAGACTGCCTGTTTGGGCTCCGAGGGCAGAGGGGGTCGGGCACAGGTTTTAACATGCCACGATGAACGGTTCTTACCCTCAGAGGGTCTCCCATGGGGGCCACCGAGTAGACTGGTCCCCCAGAACTTGGTGCTTGCACCACCACATGGATTTCTGGGCCCCACACGTCCTGGATCTTCGAGCGGCCCCGTCTGCTGTGGTCCTTGAGGTATACAAGTATGTATATGTTGCTCTTGTAGATCGGTTGATCTTACCCCAGCATCATGCCGCTCCTTCCGGCGGGCCCGCTGATACTTTTAGCCGTTGTTGTGCCCCATCAAACGCTACCTGTAGTCTCTTCCGGTGCTCCTGAATCCAGTCCTCCACTCTACCCTCACTGGCCTCTGGAACACGGCCAAGGATGAAGTCGATGGGAAGATATGGTTCCTGCCCAAACATAAGGAGATGTGGAGACTCACCGGTGGACTGATGGATGGTAGTGTTATAGGCGAATGTAACGTGTGGGAGGTATTTAGACCAGTTCTGTTTCTTCCAGGGGCAGAGTTCTTAGCAGGTCGTGGAGCGTCCTGTTAAAGCGTTCACATTGACCATTTCCTTCAGGGTGATAGGGTGTTGTACGCGACTTTTGGGTGCCATAGATGGTACAGAGCTGGCGGATGAGAGCGCTTTCGAAGTTCCTGCCCTGATCCGAATGCAGCCTTGCCGGGACGCCGAACTTGTAAAACCACTCCTGCACCAAGATGTGAGCCACCGTCGAAGCTCGCTGGTCCTTCGTAGCAACAGCCTGTGTGAACTTAGAAAACACATCCGTCATTACAAGCACATTCTCTGTACCGTCTTGTGAAGGTTCGAGTAAGGTAAAGTCAATTGCTAACACTTCATTGGGTCTGGACGCTAGCAGATGACCCATGGCAACTTTAGTGCGAGGCACTGAGGCCTTGGCAAGAGTACAGCGTTCACAGCTTTGGCCCCAGTCCTTAATGTCCTTGTGCATAAGGGGCCAGTAGCATCTCTGTCTCACCAACTCTGTAGTTCTTTCCAGGCCTTGATGGCCATGTCCATGGTGCAGCTGCTGAAGTACCTCCTCTTTCAGACAGGCTGGTAGAAGCAGTTGATACAGGTCCTCGCCTCCATCAGACCTCTGTGTGTGGCGATACAGCACCCCGTTCATCTCCTGTAGCCGGTCCCACTGCCGACACAGCTCCAGCACCTGAGGGGAGAGGTTAGCTCTGTCGGCCCTGTCTGGGCGCCTTTGGTTACGCCAGAATGGCAAAAACGTCCCTAGTACTTCGTCAGCTTGTTGTAGGGCCATCAACTCCTCTGCTGAATGAGATGGAAAGGCAGTGATGGCGGCTTGAGTTACCTGGAGAACAGAGTGAGGTACAGGTCTCTGAAGCGTTGGTGGAATGGCGGTACCAGGCAGGCATTGCTCCAATGTCTCTGATGCTGGCCACCTCGACAGGGCATCAGCATTACCATTTGTTCGGCCTGACCTGTAACGTATGGTAAAGTCAAACGACGCTAGTTGGGCTGCCCACCTCTGTTCTGTTGCCCCCAGTTTTGCCGTTTCCAAGTGACTAAGAGGGTTATTGTCTGTCCATACTGTGCATCTTTGGCCAAGAAGGTAGTCACGAAATTTCTCCGTCATTGCCCATTTTAATGCCAAAAACTCTAATTTCATGGAGCTATAATTTGACATATTTTTCTCCGTTGGTCTGAGGCCTCGGCTGGCATACGCTATTGGCCGCACTTTCCCCTCATGCTCTTGTGAGAGGACAGCTCCGAGTCCATTGAAGCTAGCATCAACTTCCAAAATAAATGGCAGGGAGAAGTTTGCATAAGCAAGAACAGGCGCGCTCACCAAGGTAGCTTTCACTTCATTGAAGCTCTTTTCGCATTCACCTGTCCAGCTGGCTGCCAGAAATTGCCTCTTTGATCGCCCTTGTGCTCTCTGCACCTCTCCAATCAGCTGGTGGAGGGGGCCTGCCATCTTCGCAAAGCCGTTGACGAACCGCCGATAGTAGCTGGCAAAGCCTAAAAAAGATCTCAATTCCGTTGTAGTATTAGGACGAGGCCAGCCAGCTACGGCGGTAATTTTATCGGGGTCTGTGGACACTCCATCAGCAGAAATCACATGGCCAAGGTACTTCACTTCCCTTTTGAAGAATTCACATTTTGAAAGCTTTACCTTGAGGCCTTCTTGTTGCAGCCGGCTCAAGACAGCACCCAGACGCTGGAGGTGGTCATCTACGGAGGAGGAATAAACAACAACATCGTCAAGGTATAAAAGCAGGGATTGGCAGTGCTGGGATCCAAACATTCTCTCCATTAGCCTTTGGAAGGTGCTAGGTGCATTACATAAACCGAATGGCATCCTGTTGAACTCGAATAAACCAAACGGTGTGCAAAACGCAGTTTTGATTTTGTCACGCTCGGCCATTGGGACTTGATTATAGCCACTAGCAAGGTCTATGGTTGAAAACCATTTTGCACCAGACAATGCATCCAGTGACTCCTCAATCCTGGGTAATGGAAATGCGTCTCGGCGTGTTTTGCTGTTGAGTTGTCTGTAGTCAACACAGAGGCGTATGGTGCCATCCTTCTTCTTGACAATCACAATAGGAGAGGCGTAGGGGCTACTACTCTCCCGGATCACCTGGCTATCAAGCAGTTGTCGTATGTGGGCCTTAACTGCCTCATACTCAGAGGGGGGTATTCTCCTAAACCTCTGTCTGACAGGAGCATCATCGAGCAATGGGATCTCATGAGTAATGAGGTTTGTACAACCCAAATCACCTTCGCTAGTGGAAAACACAGAACTGTACTGCCTGAGTAGACACCTCACCTTGTCCTGCTCCTTTGGAGGTAAAGCGGACAGATCTAGCCCATCAAAAAGGCTAGGCGGGGTACTCTCTGTAACCATCTGAGAGGAAATTGTGGCCCTCACCTGCTCGTTAGGAGACCCCACTACCTCGGTGACACCCTCTGGTAGACTCACTATGTCGGCTGGACTCAACATACCTATGGGGATGCGTGGCTGTAGCACGGCATCGGTGGTGCCTACATTTACCACTGGGATGTACGCCGTGCCTCGATGTACCGCGACCATAGCAGGGGCTATGACCACACCTGCTGGAATAGAACGCATACTGGTCAGCGGTTCAAAAAGGCCAGACTCCAAGGGACCAAACCTGCCTTGAGGACATGTAGTTGGGACAATCTTAACTGTACCTGCAGGAATGCACACTGGCCTCCGACCTCGTACTCTCACCATGCCTATTTTAGGGCTGTCTCCCTCTACCTGGGCTCTCTGACAGTGCTGAAATGCATTAAACCAGGGGGAAGCGGCTCCTGTCACAAAAGGGAGTTCAAACAGTGAGGGGCCATGCTGCTGGAAAAGCTCATTGTAACATTCTCTGATTACATTCATGCCCAAAATGCCTGGGACCTTAGGTTGGGGCAAATGGTTAGGAGGATCTCGCACAACTAAAACACAGCGACCTAGTACAACTTTGCCCAGTACCTCAACATCTGCCTCCAAATAGCCAACATAAGGTATGTCAACCCCATTAGCTGCGTGAAGCTCAAGCCAATGGCAGGAGTTTAACTTTTCCTTGAAGTTACTAGCGAAAAAGCTTTCAGTGATTGTTGTTACCATAGATCCTGTGTCAAGGAGACATTCCAATTCCACCCCACCCAGACTCACTGTTACAGTGGGACAAGTTCCTATGAGTTTTGAGACTGCAACGTTGCTTCTAAAGCTGGGGCCAGAGGAGCCAGTGTCATTCCCTTCTGCCATGTGGCTCTGCAACACAGAAGGAATTAGTTTTCCGCCTGCTGACTAGCTGATGTGACCTGCCCCCGTTGAGGAAAGGGAGGCCCCGCGCTCTGGCTATGCTGTGGCTGGCGACAGTTTCGGGCGATGTGACCGGGCCGTTGACATTGTCTGCAAATAATAGGGCCACCTCGATTAAAACTAGGGGGTCTGTTACTTTGTAACTGCAACATATTTTGTGTTAGCAGGTTTATCTGCTCCTGTTGTTTAAACAGCAAGTCTTTAAGCTCAGCTAGGTCAGCCTGAGATGTGACTGGGACACTCCCAGTCCCCTTAGCCTGAGAGCACTGAACTGCACAAAATGATGGTACGGACTGACTGCGCCCCCTAGGGTCCGAAGGTTGGCCCTCTTGCTCCCACCTAATTGCTTCACTTCTCACATCTAGTAGAGTGTAACCAGGATGTAACCGAACAAGCCTCTTTAGTTCCCTACGTAAAGATGGGTCAAGTACATGCTCAACAAATTGGTCTCTTAACAGAATAGCTGAATTTTGAAACACACCCGGGGCACTTTTGGTAACCTTTTCCATCAAACAAAATAAAGCATGTGAATACTCCTGAAGTGTTTCACCTTCCAGCTGTTTTCTAGAAAAGAAATTCTCTTGAAGCGCAACATATGATTTTGAACACCCATACAGTTCCTGCAAAATTCTCAGAATAGTTTCTGGATTTTCCCGCTCGGCTCCAGGCCTGTACCTAATTTCTTCCTTTGCTTCTCCCTCGATATGATCATAAATAAAATAAGCCTGGTCAAGTGGTGAAAGGTACCTAGCCCGCATACTAGCCCGTACCTCCTCTACCCAGTCATTAATTCCAATGCCCGTACTCCCTCTAAAAATGGGGCATTTACGCTCACGAGGAATGTACAGAATGCGTTCACCGGTAGTTGAGTGTCCATGGCCAGAGGTGCGTCGAGTAGGGTTACCAGCAGAGTTGTGAGTGGAAGTACCCTCACCAGGGTCCTCCTGAGCAGCTGCTTGCTCCTGTCGTAAAAGTTCATTGTCAGTTTGTAGTCGTTTCACCAGATCCCTCAATTCCTGCGCTTCAACGGCGTCCATGTCTACTTCAGATGGAGATGAGAGCAGAATCAAACAAGTAGTCACAGGGTAGGTTCAGGTAGGCCAGGCCACGGTCCAACGCCGGGCCTGCTACTGTTTTGTATTTACTATTAAGCCTACGCACTACTGCACCAATAAATTACACAATTAAAAACACATGTCTCTGTTACAAATCCTGCCAGCAACGCCACGTTTGTGACCCGAGGTACTTAAAAATAACCAATAAAATAACTAAAGTATTAATAAAACCAAAGGACACACAGGTAAGCTTTGTAAAAGACAGCAGAGACAGTGCTTTTAAAATATGCAATTAAAAGTTTATTTATAACAGAATTGGGTTTAAAAAGGATGATATTTATTTATAAAAAGTAACATTCAGGTTAAAATGGCCAATATGATAAAAGTAAAGTTCAATTAAAATCTGGCAGCCCCTGGGCCAGAGCCAAACGAAATCTGAAAGCAGACAAGTCTTAAACAGAAACCAAACAAGGATGGCTTGAGAGGGGGTAGCCCCACCCCAAACAAAACAGAAAGTGCTACCCACAAACGCACTAAATAACAAAAATACCAAGTGCAAACAGAAAAATGGGCCAAATCCCCCGCCCAAGCACATCCAAGGGAAACTAAATCTAAAAGGCTAAAAGACCCAGGTACTGCTATACAGGACTGGTGCAGAGCTAAAAGGGTTTCTAAAAGCTACAAAAATGATACAACCCAAAAACGAACTCTAAACAAAACAGTAGCAGGCTAAAATCTGCAATTAAAATGGAAACAAACATTAAACTCAAATGCAATAAAATGTAAACAAAGTGCTAAAACGCTTGTCCCACCTTAAAATTGCGATAAAACGGGGGAAAATAGCCACCACCGGAGTCCTACAAAAAGACTCTAAAACCAGAGAAGTAAATTAAGAACAGATTA